AAGTCTATAATAAAATTATTCAACAGAAAATTTCTCTAAGTAGTCAGATCTATTACACTCAATCCTTCTCTATTTACATGCTAAATACTGAGAATTTCAGTTACAAATTTTTCAGAATTTATCAAAATAAAAGCCAAGTGCCACATTCTATCTAGCATAAAGTAAAATTTTCACAAGTCTGAACATGTCAATGCAGCTAATGAGTACTGCTGGGGGTCATGAAAATAAATCTCCAACAGGACCTCTTTGCTAAGTCCATAATTAAGATTCTAAAGTTACCTAATGTGTACTCACTCCAATATACTCTATGTTATAGATATTAGTCTAATTTGAACAGATTTGCATTTGTTCATTCAACAAAATACTTTCTGACCCCCTTACTATGTACCAGGCACTGCATTTGGCACAATAATAGACTCTCTAGTTGATGAAAAAGAAGACAGGAAAAATAAGTTAAAGATGAAACCGATTTAAATCCTGCCTGAAGTCAAGCGGCTTTCTCAGGAGAGTCTTTCCTCAGGGGTCACTCACATGCATGAACTGTCTCTGCTAATGTCCCCAACGAAACCCCAAACAGCACTTTTTTGGATGTCTTTAAAGTCCACCTACATTTACTATAGCAGAAATCACCCATTTGAACTCCGTGTTACCTGCTCCAATGAGTAATACCATAGGCACCCCGGCAGCTGCAAGTAGAGCTTGACAGAGAAGAAAAAATAAAAATAATTTAAAAGGAATGATTGAGAAGAGAAAGGAAAAGAAAGTCAACAAAAGAGAACTACACTGTCCCCACATACAGAGTACCAACAACTGTCGTATGTGGCACGCCACAGTGGCACATTACAACACCCCCTAAAGAAAGACATGTCTGCACTAAGTTAGTAAGTGTTCATTCAGATGCAGCTAGAAAGTGAAACTCATAAGTCAGTTCTACTTCCCACAACCTTTTTTTTTTTGGAACTTTCAAATCACAGTCATTGTTTCATTGTTGTGGAGACACAAAAACACAACGATTGCCAGAAATCCTTGGATTTATCTCTGAAAGCCAATCTCATGTGAGCATTCTAAAAACACTGTACTCCAGCCACAAGGCCCTCTCTGCCTCTTGAACATCTCCGAGCTCCTTCCTGCCTTAGAGTTTCTATCGAACCATTCCCTCTGCCTGAAGCCTCTCTTGATTTAGGTAGCCCGTGCCTCTGAACTGAATCACAGAGTCAATGCCGCTTCTTCAGAGAGGCCTTCTCTAGACACCCGGTCTCCAGCAGCAGCACGGTCATCACGGCCTCCACGTTAATCTCCGCTCAGCCCGGATCCCCATGTTTCTTGGAGGTTCATGTTTTAACTCATTTGTTCATTAACTCCATTAGAAAATAATCTCTGTGACAGAAAAAAATCTTGATTATTTGTTCACCATTAGATCGTTGGTGCCTAGAATTACATAGTACGTGCTCGATCTATATTTGATTCAGTGAAGAAGCAAATTCTATACAACTTTGTTAGTAAGGGCTTCCAAAAGCTCGTGAAATTTTTCATTATCTTTTCAGTCCTTTTTTCCACAAACTTTCAGGCGCCCCCTCATACTTTTTCTCATCAGGAGCTGAAATCTCCAGCTCTGTCCCTTTAAGCTGTGGAGAACCAAGTCTGCTTGCTGTCTGTTCCACACGTGCTACTAACATGGACTCCCACAGTAAACACGGGTCTTCATCGTGTTCGCTGTTTCGATGGCATCATTCTTTGATTACTCTCACCACACACAATCCAGTTTGATTATTTCCTGTTAGTGTTTTGGTTGGGTGTCAGCCCCACCTCACAGACACCCCATGCACAGGGGGATCGGATTTCTATGATCCATGGGTTTTTTCTTGCCAATCTTTCTTCCTAGTCTATTTTAGTCTGGAAGTTCTGCTGACACCTGTCCGGCATCATAGCGACGCAGAAGCCTCTACTGACAGCAGGTGGTGACTGAACATAATGTGCAGTGGCTTGGAATCAAACCTATGATCAAGGGTAGGGAAAGTAGTCAACACTGTAGAAAGACGCCAGGTACCATGGCAGCTCCAGAAATTCTTGCTGCAAGTGGAAAGATGATGAAAAGAGTTGCGTGAAGCTGAATCTGCCAAGCAAGCTTACTAGTTGTCAACATCCACTTGGGGGGGAGAGGAAGAACTACCTCCTCTAAAGACACACCACCACCACCC